ACCCTAAACCTAACCCTTAACCTAAACCTAACCCTTAACCTAACCCTAAACCTAACCCTTAACCTAACCCTAAACCTAACCCTAAAGCTAACCCTTACCTTAAGTTGAATCGGCTTGCTTTCAAAGCGCTATTTAAAGCGCCCTTCTTTCTCTGCGCTGACTGTTGTCGCCCTGTTGATGACGTCAGCGACGCGGTTTAATCGGGCGCGGTTTAGTCGAGCGCGGTTTTGACGGGTCACGGTGCGCATGCTTTGCTCTACTTGCCACATGTTGCTCATGCATGTGCAGTAGACTAAAAATTGTTCTGCGCATGCACAAAAACATGCTGGCAACGGCAGAAGAGACCGGAGAACTGGTTTGAGGGTGTGGCCAGCCTGGGTGGCTGCCAGTTCTGCGACCCAGGCCTCAGTTCCACTACTGAACCTGGCCAAACGGGGAGCAACCCACCTCTGATGGGTAGTCAGATGGTACTACAAATGAGAAAGACAATGTCATTGCATAATCCTTTGGAAAAGCATCACCCAAGGACCTAGTTTTGCCATAGAGTTTGTTGTCTAGTTGAATAGTCTAATCACACTTTCATGAGACATTTTATATCCTCAAGAGCCCAATCCAAATTACACTTACAAATTAATTGTCAGGAGATAGGTAAGTACTGTGGATGCACTTTGAAAATATTGTTTGTAGAATCCTTTTTCTGAGCTGACACGGGAGATAATTATCAAATCTGTCCTTCCGGTCTAGCAGTCTCTTCTGGGATGGAAAAAAAAAAGAGTTACAGACAGAAAAGAGTACACTCTTAGTTCCACCTATGGACCACCTGTATACAAATATCTATATCCAATTTATGCAAAGAAGTCTCCAGGTTTGTTCGGTCACAGGCTATACTTTACCTTTGTTGTGCTGAGGCTCACACAGGAAGTTAATAAGACCCGGAGAAAGAACCAGGCAAGATCAGGGAGAATTTAATTTCTTTCTACGACATCAAAACAACAATTTGGGTACACAAAAAATGCACACAAGTTCAAAATCTTTATTATACAACAAATATCTTGATGCAAGTTACAATGTGTTATTTTTTTATTTTTTTCCCTTGCCCATATTAACCTTGACTTTGAATGGAAAAGGTCAAATAACTTTAATGCTAGATAATGACATCAGTATCCTAAATTATAGCTAATATTGATAGACTATCTTTTTTTTCCTTTTCCTTATTTCCAATACAAGTACTCTTAAGGTATATAAATAACAGGATGTCAAGAATTTGTCATTATAGCATATAAATACAATCGTACTGACATTTCAAAAAAAATTAAAACTGGCAACAACTTTTAGACAGATTCTGTACCTTAGGCTTTGGGAGACATAAGTGACCCTAGAATTACTAAATCTAAACAAGGTCCTGATCACAATTCTCAACAGTATCTGATATTAATAAGATTTCAGCTCTAATATTTAAAGATTCTGTTTTAATGGTAGCTGATTCCAAAATTGGGAGTAGGGAACATTATGCAGTAAACTCTGCCGAAATGAGAAATTTTTTGTCTTAGGCAAAAAAAAAAAAACCTGGTTATTTAATTTACCTTTATGACAAAAAGCATTATTCAATGAAAGTGTGTTTTTTTTCCAGCCCAGAGATTGAAGCTCCCTACATCACTGAGGAAGAAAAGGAAAGACTCCTGGAATTGTATCAGTACTTGCATAGCCGAGCTCACAATTCCGCCCGTCCCCTCAATAACATCTATTATACTGGATCCAATGAAAATCTCCTGGCCTGGGTAAAAATTTATTTCATTACTGCAGCTTCTAGAAAAAATGTAAAAGCAGGACCTAGTCCCAGATAACTTTATTGCCTGGGAGAAATATGAGTGTATTAGTACAACTGAAACCTCTCACACTTCTTCACTTAGAGCAAATGGCCCAATGAAACATGGCAACAATGATCTGCATGCAATGAAAACAATAGAGGCAATTTGCTTTACATGTCAATAGTAACATGAGAGTCCCAAAGGTGCTTTTTCAAAAGGCAACTGGACTTTCTGGTTTTTCTTTGAAGACGTTTCGCTTCTCATCCAAGAAGCTTCTTCAGCTTCTTTAACATCTTCAGAGAAAAACTAGACAGACCAGCTGCCTCTTGAAAAAGCACCTTTGGCACAGCAATGACTCGGATGACTGAGACTCTCCATAGACAAGTAACGCGACAACAAGTGCTTTGCTCTGATTGCATATTGTAATAGAAATGTAAACTTTTTCCAGGTGACCGGTGCTTTTGAACTCTATGTGTGCTTCACCCCTCTGGGTACCAAAGCAGCAGCTGTCAGTGCTGTCAACAAGCTGATGAAGTGGATCCGTAAGGAGGAGGACCGGCTTTTTATATTGTCGTCCCAGACTTACTGACTGTTGTGATCTGGGCTGCCTGCCTTGTTCTGAACACTCCAAAACTACTTCCTGTGTCTGGTGGGAGTAGACATAATCAGTTTCTCATCATCCTCCTCTCTCTCTCTGTCTGACTGTCTCTCTCTCTCTCTGGGGGACATTTCCTCCCCACAGTAGATATGTGCATGGGGAAGGAGTTCTCTGGGTAAAAGAGCTTCTGACTGACATGGTGCACACAGATATCAGAAGAGTCCAACATTTCAGGGTTAGTTTCAGATATTGTATCTAGAACTGGAACACAGACCACCTTGTAAGTATTACTTGAATCTTGAATTACAATTTCCTCCTTATTTTGAGGCTGTGTTAAACAAATCTTCTTTCCCATAGCTGATTTTCTCCGCTGACTTTTTGAACATAGTGCCACAGGTATTAAGTTTTCCCATCTGTCTTAATCTTAACTAATTGCGGGAAGGTAGGTTGGTGGCTTAGCAGGTTCCTTCTCAAAGGATTTTCCATTTAAAGGACTGAACAAATGCACAGAAGGTGTGGCAAATATGTAGATAGTGAGGGATGAGGCAAGCATACCAATATTCCTTCCTCATCTTTTTTCTCTACAACAGACGTGTCAAACACGCAGCCCGCAGGCTGAATCCAGTCCACAATAGGCCTAGAATTGTCCTGTGGGACCGTCCCAGAGATAGTAAGGGACTGGCCTGTACCACCATGGCCTCAGCCCACCCCATCCACACCCACCCAGTCGGCCACGATGACCAGGCCATGCCCACCCTGGCCCCCCAATGGCAAACAAAATCCTGATATGGCCTACAATGGATTGAGTTTGACACCCCTACTCTACAACAATCCCATGAGGTGAGTTGGACTAGGAGAGATGGCTCAAAGTCACTGAGCCAGTTTTTCCATGCCTAAAGTAGGACTCGAACTCCCAGTCTCTGGTTTCTAGGCCAACAAGTTAACCACTATACCAAACTGGTTCCTTTTTTCTATATTTAGTTGCACACTGTAAGGTGTAACTGAGGCATGAAATCCTCTTTGCTACTGGGTCAGAATTAGAAGTGTGCATGTGCGCACGGCCCTTCTGTGCATGCGCACAGCATCTGTGATGACGTGTGGGTGGGTGGGCAGAGCCTCCCGCCACTATTGGTTCGCCCGAACCAGGGTGAATCAGCAGAATACCACCTCTGGTGCAAATAAACTGTAACATTAAATGAAACTGAGATCCAGTGAAATTGTTCATGTTCAGTGATGGTGTCATGGATATCTTTCTAGCCCATTTTTGGATCTATGGTTTCTTCTGGAAAGGGTTATTATGTGTGATTCAGGGGGGAAATGTTTTTAACAGATACCTCTAAAAAAAATCAGCACACAATTGCCACAAGATGGCAGCAGAAAACCAGATTGTGAAAGATTTCTTAATGATTAATAAATATTAAAATAAAAGTCATAATAGATGCAGAATAAATTCCTATTCACAGATGCATTTTCCTTATTTACAACTTATGGATTTGGTGTCACATATACTGCTACTTCTCTGAATTTAATAAAAGAGTTTTATGGGACCTTTTAGATTAACAAATGTACTGTATATCATAAGATTTCATGAACTACCAACCAGTTCAACAAATGCTAAAACTATACAATGTGCTAACATAAATTAAATTGTGGAAAACTCTTATTCTGTTTTTACAAACTTGCACAGCTGCTTGTTAGTTCAATATGTAACATGATGTGTACATGAATACTGATGAAAAGATGCATAGGGTGTTTGAATGGTACAAGTTTCTAACAATAAGAACAGTTTGACAGTGGAACCAGTTACTGAGAAAGATGGTGGGGAACTATAGGAAAGTATTTGAGTTAATCATATAGCTTCTGAAACCCTCCATAGATTTGCTGCCTTTTATTTATTCTTTGGAAGTTTTAAGTTTTGAAATTCCAAGATAACAGGATCCCCCATTATGAACACTTCAATTATCCAGTAGGAATTATTTCCCATATACTTTACATGATACTTAAATATTGAATGTATTATGTAGTATTTCGGTTAAGCAAAGTATGCCATTTGAATTTTCTTACTGCCACAACCAAGTCACATTTCTCAATCACACTGTTTTAGTAATGTTTGCTATATTACTAATGAGAATATTTGTAGCTCAGGGTTGAACTTGATGCTCTCTGAGTTTTCTTGTTTTCTTGCAGACATTGCATTACCTAAACTAGGTAACATCATTATCATCACTAGCACTGATGATGTTATCTAGTTTGGGTAATGAAACACCTGCAAAAAATTAAGCAAGCTCAGACAGCACCAAGGATTGACTCCTTGCTTCCTATATCACTTGTTTGTAGTTTGTAGTTTATTATTTATAGGCCGCCCTTCTCCCTGAGGAGACTCAGGGCAGCTTACAATTTATAGGGAAGGGGATACAAGACAATAAAACAATAAACATGAAAACAGTGCAA